TCCATCTTAAMGCGTGCCCATTTAGGCAAGCCACTTTGYCATCAACCAACCAGACCCGTCTGAATTTGGCAAGTGTCACCTGTTCTGTCTCTGGACTGTTTTGCACCCGGAGTTTCACCTTCCTCCATTGACATAGGATTTCCGCTTCAATCATCTCTTTGTTTGCCGCCCACACTTTCTCCCTTGGGTTCTTCGTGCCATCCAGTGTTCTGCTGCACCTCTCCTTCCAAATGGCCCAAAGCGTGATCTTGCGCACCATTCCGAACCAGATTTTCTCTGATTTGCCGAAGTTAGAGGGTAACTTAGTCCATAGGAGCAGTTGAAGGGGGTGCTCTCAGCTCTGGTAGTGGAGATGAGAATAGACTATCCCAAAGTGCTGATGCTCTTGCCCAATACGCTGTGGCTTCTTTACAGTTAATTAGACAGTGTATCACATCTTCCTGTTGCTGATCAGAGCAGACTATACAGACATCAGAGCTGGTTGGGTCGTTCTTTCTTCTTCTGACATATAGCCACTGGTTAACCGGTAGAGCCACATAGGTTATGAGCCATTGCATGCTTCTGATTTTTATAGGTCTTATCGTTTTGTACTTCTTCCATGGGATTTTTGCTATCTGGTCTGCCTCTGATCCAATTAACTTGCTCCATCTTCCCTTGATTGTTGGGTCTGGGTCCTTTGTTTTTAACAGTGTCTTATAACCCAGGTTAACTGTATAATCATATATTGGAATCGGTGGTTTGGCCGTTCTATTTCTTTCTGGGCGTCATGCCCATTCTGATGGGTCGAACTCAAGGTCTTGGATTGCCGTGTTTATTTGGAAGATCAGTTTAGGTCAGAGACCTAGCATCCTTATTTTCACAACGTGAACGCATTCAGCACTGCTTTTTCAGGATTGATGTTCTGAATGTATTGTTCTCAGAGACCTAGNAATGTATTGTTCTCAGAGACCTAGCATCCTTATTTTCACAACGTGAACGCATTCAGCACTGCTTTTTCAGGATTGATGTTCTGAATGTATTGTTCATCTGGCTTAGTCTTCAAAATTGGGAAGGAAGTGAATACATCCCTTGGACCAGGTGTGGACTGTCGGTGGGAGAATTGGTATGCTCTGACTGGGGAGGATTCTTGGACCAGGACTCCCCACTCGCCTGGCTTCCATGTGAACTCTTCTTTTAGAATATCTATCCAGCTACACGGGATGCTCCGCATTATCTTTTGGAGGTTTTCGTCCCTGTGATGGCAACCTTTCAAGCGGGTCTTGAGGTCCGCCTCGTCCAGCCAGCTTTTCTTATCCTCATTCCATATGTCACCTACTCGCCAAACACCCTGTTTGATCCAGGATAGCCATCTGTTGCCTCTGCTGGACGAAGTCCATGGGTGGTCCCCCTCATCTCTAATCCACGGATTACCAAAGAGAGGCTGCCTGAGCACTTCTTCTTTGGACCTTGGTTTGCCTAGCTTTTCTGGCATGATCTCTCTCCAGATCCGTAGCAGAGCAGCCCAGTACGCCTCGAGCTTCTTTGACCCTTAGGAATCCAGTCTTTGTTCATCACCCAGAACAGTCCGGACATATTTGGAGGGGACTCAATCGGGGCCAGACTTCTAATACTGTCTTGTGCAAGCTTGTTCCAGGGCAAAAACTGTTTAGACAACGACTTGACTACCCACGTTATTTGGAGGGCTTTTGTCTCTTGTCTGGGATCTATGATACCCAATCCTCCCTGGGATGGTTTCCTTGTGATAACGTGCCAGGCTATCTTAGGGATGTAATTCTCTCTGTTCGGGTCACCTGCCCACAGGTAGGCTCTGGCTTTCCTATTCAGGTCTTAAGACTCCCCATTCCCCTGATTTCCATGTGAATTCTTCTTTGAGAAGTTCTTTCCAACTGTCTGGGATACTTTGTATGATTTTCTGTAAATGTTCATCTCTATTGTGGCAGCCTTTCAGCCGGGTTTTCAGGTCTTCCTCGTCTACCAATATTTCCTATTGTCGTTATCCCATTTTTTATCCATGTTAGCCATTTGTTACCTGTATGGGAGAGGGTCTAGGGGTGGTTCCCTTCGTCTCTGATCCATGGGTTCCCAAAGAGAGGTTGTCTGAGTACCTCTTCCTCTGGTTTGGGTCTGTTTAACTCCCTTGGCATGATTTCTGTCCAGATTCGTAGCAGGGTTGTCCAGTAGGGCAAGGATCCTTGCTCCTGTCATGGGGCTTCTCCTCTTCCTCTCCTCCTCCTCCCCGTTTTCGAACTCCAGTCTTTGTTCATCACCCGGAAAGAACCTGACATATTGGGGGGGCTAACCGTCGGTGCCAGGCTTCTAATGCTGTCCAGAACCAACTTGTTCCAGGCTAGGGATTGTTTTGTCAACAATTTAATTATCCATTTGGTTTGGGGAGCTTTTGTTTCTTGTCTGGGGTATATTATCCCCAAACCTCCTTGAGATGTAGTGCCAGGCCACCTTGGGGATGTATTTCTCTCTGTTGGGATCCCCCGACCATAGGTATGCGCTCGCTTTCCAGTTCAGCTCTTTGATTGTTTGGTCAGGTATGGTCCAGATAGACGCGATGGTTAGTGCATGACCCAGAATTTGGTTGGTCAATAGGTTATGTACCATCTGAGGTGTCAGTCCGTCCTTTGTTATCTGAATTCCCAGGTATCTCGTGGGGGGCTCCGGCCTTTCCCATGTCACGTCGGCTTCGGGGCCTTGAGGTTGGGGAAGAGGCTCTTCCGATAGCCACCATCCTATTGTCTTCTTCCAATATATCTTCATTTTCGATGCTAGCCTGAAAGCTTCCATTGCTCTAACTAAGGCTGCCATAGAGGAGTTGGAAGCACGTATTAACACCATCAGGTCATCCGCAAACAGAATCACTGTGGAAAATGGTATGTGATGCGAAGAGCCATGTTCATTTCTCGTAGCCTTTGGATAGAAGGGTCTTTGTGCAGAAAGAAAGCTACGGCCTCTATAATAACAAAGAGGAAGATAGGTGGAGTTAGTGGGTCCCCCTGTCGTATCGATCTAGAAATCTAATAACTTTTCGATAATAGTCCATTGATCTGGACGCAGCCGGAAGTGTCATTAGATAGGATTCTAACCCATTTTCTAAAATTTAGGCCCATCCCCATCTTTTCCATGCTTGCGTCTAGGGAAGTCCAATTCACCTGAGAGTATGCCTTTTCAAAGTCGAAAAATAGACATGCCGCATTGATCTTTCTTTTCTGTAATTTTCTTTGAAGCCTCATTTCGGGTCGTAACATTATCGAGAATATAAGTCCCGGTATGAAACCAGCCTGATCTATGTGAAAGCATTTGTCTGTTAGGTCTAAAATTCTGAAGGCTAATGCTTTGGCTAGAATTCTATAAAGTAGTGATCTGCCTATAGTTCCTAATGTCTTCACGCTCACCCTTCTTGTAAAGGAGTGTGACGACACTGGTACTAAGAGGTTCTCCCATACCCTCCTTCTCCCAGCAGTCGTTGTTGAAATGTATAACGGCAGTTCCCAACAACGGCCAAAAATTTTCCCAGAATTCTTTCGTAAGACCATCTATCCCCGTGTCGTGTTTGTTATTCATACTCCGGACTGCAAAGAGAAGCTCTTCCATAGATAGGGGACTGTCTAATTTGTCTGCCTGGTCCTTTGAGAAAGTCCTGTCAAGATACTGGAGCATCCTCGATCTAGCTTCTCGGATATGAGAGGGGGTGGCAGATTGTAGCGGACCTCTGGTTGGCCTGTGAGACCAGCCCCTTGGCCTGTTCTCACAGGTCTGTGTTGTATTCAGGGTAGTCCAGTCCAGGCCGGTACCTCTGTCGGTACCAGCCAGTCCAGTCCAGTCAGTCCGCTGGGGTATACCCCAGCCAGAGTCTGTACTTGGGATCATTATACATTCGCACAGTTTGGAGTGCATGCGTTGGAGTCTTGCGTGGGAGCTGCGCTGTGTCATCTTGCTCCCCCCTCATCCTCCATCTCCATTTCTATCCCAGGCGGAGCACCACACCTGGTGGGTCCGCCACACAGATGGCACTTTGGATTGATATAGGCCTTTGTAGATTCTCTTTGCTACCTCCATCATCCCCTCGCTGTCCGACCGGATTGCCTGTTGGCCTGACTGTTCTTTGAGTCTCTCGGTTGAGTTGGATCTACTGTTGGCTTTTATTATGGCGAAGAAATGCTTTGACATCTGTTCATTAGCGCCAGATCTGTCATTCTCGCTCCTATTTGGAGGCCTCTCAGTTCCCATTGATGCCATAACGCCAGTTCTTCTCGAGACTTTTCGAACACTTCCGTGCACATGGGGGAAGAAGGGTCAGTGGCTAGGTTACTTTCCACTATCCTGAGGGCTGTTTCCAGCATGTGTTTTCTCTATTTCCTGTCGTTTGCCAGTTTTCTTGATATTCTAGCAGCTGTTTGCGCCATCATGAGGTAGCTGTCCTGAAACCACTCCTGTCGGTCTTGGCTAGGTAAGCATGCCCCCTTCAAATTCTGCCAGCCCTTAGTGATATTGTCTTGGAATTCCGAGCTTAGCAAAAGGGAGTTGTTCAGTGTGTGAAAGCTTCTACCCTTTCTTCTGTGTTGGTCGAAACGGACAATGAGTTCAAGTGGTTTGTGGCCAAGGCCTGAGTAGGGGCCTAGGGACAGAATCTCTGCTTCCTTGACTGTTCCCATGAGGTGTTATGTTATGAGAAAGTAGTCTATTCGAGAGAATGCTGTGGTGAGCGTGGTTTTTCTTGACCAGGGAAAACCTTTGGTCAATGGGTGCAGTGTTCGAAATGGGTCAACTAGATTGTAGTCCATGATCAATTTCTGGACAGGAGCCACCTCTTGAAATGTTCTGCGATGTCGACCTGGAGATTCGGTCCACAGCCGGGTCTAAGGTTGCATTCCAATCTCCGGCTGTTGTGTTATCTAACTTATCTTCTTCATCAACTTTCTCTTTGCATTAAATAAATATTGTGTGAAATTGTGAATGTTTTTGTTCTTATTATGTTTGTTATTTGCCAGGTTTTGGTAACATACAGTGAGCGAAAGAGCGATGTTTTTCGGAAGGAAGTGTTTGACACTGTCATCATTGCAGTTGGCCGAGATGCACTGACACTTGACTTGGTATGGGCTCCCAAGAATGGCGTCGTCTCCTGTGCTTTGACCCATGTCAGCACCAGCGCCCCTAGCAAACCTGTGGTCTGTTAAAAAGGAAAAAAAAGAAAAAAAGAAGTTGACATCATGAAAGAGAGACAGAAATACACAAACAGAGGGGGTAGAGATAGATAGGTAGATAGATAGATAGATAGATAGATAGATAGATATATATAGAGAGAGAGAGAGAGAGAGAGAGAGAGAGAGAGAGAGAGAGAGAGAGAGAGAGAGAGCTTCAACAGCAAATTGAACTAAGTGTGCGAGGCTTTGCTTTCACAGTGAACGCACAAAAGTTCATGGCATGCCACTCAGTGTCGCGGCGGTCCTTCTGCCTCCTGCTCAGATGGTCATTTCAGCCATCATCCATGAATAAATAGTTCGCCCGACTCTCATCATCAGCCTTCGCTCCACAGTATCCATCATACCCATCCTCAACTAAGTCGTCTGATATTTCCAAAAAACAAACCGCAAACTCCACTGGCATACTTCCATCGCGTCGACGTCCAGTGGCAATGTCTTCCAAGAACCGCCGGAAACGTAATACAACTATAAAAATTGATCCCTTGTCGTCATTCCAGACACACACACACACACACACACACAGAGAGAGAGAGAGAGAGAGAGAGAGAGAGAGAGAGAGAGAGAGAGAGAGAGAGAGAGAGAGAGAGAG